GAAGGTCTTTCACCTTTAACTGATTTAAAAACCATAAATTGGAAGCCTTTTGAAGTTCTTTCAAAATGGAAATAATGATGAAAACTTCCATAGTATGAAAAATACTGCTCTCTGTAATATTGAAATCCTCTCCCACATTAATTGTGGGACGGGTCTACTAGAGAATACCTACCCAAAAAGTAAAGTAAATTTCCCATGCACCTATAATTATTCACTGAACAGATTTCATCACCTGTGGTGCACCCCAACCTCCCACACTGTAATGCAGTTTTGCCGCCATGATCTTCCTTCCTTTCGAAAGTAACTCAAAGTTTGGTGCCAAAGTGGGAAGGACGGGCAGGAGAGGACTGGTTGGGTTGGTATTTAGTTGTAGACTCAACCCACACTCAATGTGGTGGAGGAGTCTACGGTGCTCTACCTACCCAAACAGTGACTACATATGTAGAATGGCACTGTTCGAGGAGGGGGGTTTGCATGTAATGCTATGAATGCACATTCACATTTAGATAAGGAAAAAACAGAAAAACATGACATGTATGGGTTCAATGTACATGCATCTGACCTTTTAAGTTATGAAGAGTCAGCAAAATAACATCACTGAGGAATTGCTGATTTGAATCATGTACAACAATCAAAAACACAACACATTCTATTTTTTGCCTCAGTTTATGTAAGCATTCTGAATTTCTCTTCACTGGCCTGACTTATCATATAATATTCCCAATTCAAACAGCTGTCCGAAACATCTAACAAAAATATGTTTCCAGTAAATAGTCTTCCATCAGTAAAATCTCAGGTAAGGTAAAATAATACTATTATCCCATCAAGGGCTGAGCTACAAATTCAACTAAATTCAATTAAAGAAGTGGATAAAGTTGAAAAATGGAATGTAATCAAACTTCAGAACTACGGTGCAGGCAACACAAGCACAAATGTGGTACACGTATTAAATCAAAGAGGACCAGACCTGTCACTGAACTGTGTGCCACTGAGATGGGATACACTAACCGTATGTAACCCTGATGTATCAGTAGAAGCCCAAATACTAGTAGCTGATCAACACTGCTTAAACTTCAACAAAACTAACTAAGGAATCGTCCATTTCTTGAACTAAATACTCAGCAGTAAATTCTGTAAGCTTATTTCAAAGTGTTGTTAGAAACTAAACAGCAGCTGATCTACAGTCACAAAAATACAAAAAAAAATTACCAGTACCACAAAGCAAATACCATACATGTAACAAAACTGGGGATAGCAATGAAGAAGATATAATTTGTACTCTGACCCATTGTGTGATTAACTAGACTGGGAAACAACTTCAAAGTATGAACAAGCAACAATGATGGATGAACAAATGTATCATTAATTAACCCTAACACTCCTCAACCCTTCACCTGTTGGAGGATTGAGGAGTGTTAGGGTTAAGTTATTGCACGTAAATAAGGTGAAAAATACATTCACGAATACTTTGGCTCCCACATACAAATTGACTGTAGTTTTTACAGCCCCAATTCAACTTTTATATCATGAACTCCAAAAATAGTTGGTGCTCAATCTCACAGAAACATCCTGTTCTTCTGTAAGGTTTCTGTACCACACAGTATGCATAAATCCGATGCACACATCTGACATGCTTGAATATGAACTTGCAATGTAACAGGCAGTAAATGTTTACAAGATTACAGGGATCCTGATCTTTACTCTTTTCTGTTGCACTGTAAAATGCTTTCAAAATGCATTATTTTTTCAAAACTTTATCATCTAGGCTGAGCAGCAAAGGATGGAGTGGCAAGCAAGTGAGGAGACGGTCTACGGACTCTAAGGCAGATTAAAAGTGTACCACTGATGAGGTGTCTGTGAAGAAAGCGGTTCTTGGAATTTCATAGGACAATATGACACCATACAGTTTAACGAGAATACAATTAGCCAGTTGAATATTTTTAAAAACTTAGGTCATTCATTAACTTAGGTCATTCAATACCTTGGCCGAGCTCCATTTTAGGCATGTGCTACTGAAATGCCTAACTGGCTCGTTCATCAAGCCATGGCTTCTTTTCCACATTACCATATTTTTGGCAGGAATGCAAGCATTTAAAAACCAATCTCATCCAACAATGATTCTCAGAACAATAACATCAGGGACTACAAAATTCCTGAACCTGGAATTCTCCTGGCAAGGAAATTTATCATACACCATTGGTGAAATTCCACAAACACACCTGTTCTTCCCTTGCAACTTCATCAATTTTTTTCCAAACAAAGGCTTGCATGAATGGCCATGAAGAGACCATGAAAAGCCATAGGTCAGATGAAATTCTAAAAATACTATGGGTTACAGATTCCAGAAATCCCCTGATGAGAAATACCGGTACATCCAGACGTTACATTAAAAAGTCGTGCTAACCGGTGACCAGTGAAAATAAACTAAGCAAAACAAAACCTTGAAAGTAGCCACATATAAAATAGAGAAAATAACTAGAACGGCAAAGCCGCCATGGCTCACTGCTTGTTATGAATTTGAATTTCTTTCTTGTAATAACAGGAAAGAGACATCTAAGTTATACAAATATGGTAACTAAATCAAACAAGTAAATACTAACAGAGCTTCATCAAAATTTTTTACAAGGTTGGTTGACATACGACTGCAATACAGATGTACGAGCTATCTTATCGACCTAGCAAATACAATGCATTTGTACTCCAGGAGAAAAATCCTATTCAGTGCTGTGTGCAGACTGTGTGTTGAAAGGCGCCTGTCGTTTAAAAGTAAATCAACAAAGACCATCAACAAGGGAGGTACAGGTACAAAGGCTTCACAGTTCTTTACAGGAGAGAGGAATGCCTATAGAATGTGGGTCCAGTCCAGTCCAGTCAGACCAGACTTGGATGATTATATAAGCAGTGCATTTGTGAGTTTAATGGATGGTGCATAACTAAAATTCCTCCAAAGTATATGTACAGTTCTGCACTCTGTATCCAACCCCATTATCCTATCCATCTCCTACTCCACTCCCTCCCCATCATCCTATCCATCTCCTACTCTTCCCCTCCATCATCCTTTCCATCTCCTACTCTCCCCCCTCCATCATCCTATCCATCTCCTACTCCACCCCCTCCCCATCATCC